CCCCCCCCCCAAAAAAAACCCCAAACACTTGAGCATAAAATTTACCAAGTTAACCCTAAGTGTAGTTAGTAGAGAGTAAATTCATAGTGTTGTTTAATCTAACTCTTTGTTTGCTTTTTGAGGCAGGTTCTCAATGTGTGGTTCAGGCTGCCAGGAACCTCAGCCTCCTGAGGGCTGAGGTTATAGTTATGAGCCTCCAAACATGGCGTACACTCCATCTTCAGAACTTTTCTTCTTTTTTGCTTTTGTTGTTAGAGACAGAGTCTTATCAAATAGCAGAAGCTGGCCTTGAACTCCCAGCAATCCTCCTGCCCCAACCCCTAGCACTTTAGAGTGCTAAGATTACAGACGTGCTACCACTGAAGGCAAGCATTAGCAGCGTCTGCGGAGCACTGGCTCCTCACTCCTTTCCTGTAAATTCTGGGCCGGTTCCCCCAGCACCGTTTGTTGGAAGGATTGTAGGGAAACTTCTTCACGTCTGTCTAGAGTTTTGTGTGTAGACAAGAAAGAGCCATGCCTGTTTGGGTTTTGTTAATGATCAATTAACATTTAAAGAATTAACTTTCCTGTCAACAGTCCACTGCCAAGCTTCCACAACTAAAAATAGCAAGCCAAGAATTTCACAATTTCTATTTTCTTCAAATATTTGAACATTGTAAGTATAATCAAGGGACTTCTGGGCTGGAAAAGTGGCTCAGTCCTTAGAGTGCTAATGTAGCATGCACTGTGTATCCTCAGCACTACTTACACTGGGGGTGGTGATTCTTGGTAGGTAAAGGCAAGGCAAGAGGACCTGAGTTCTAGGTCACACTCAGCTGAGTAAGTTCAGGGCCAGCCTGGGGAAGGGAGCGGCATGTTATTTCACGGTGTGTATTTAAGGGTCAGAGGACAAGAGTCAGTTCTCTCCTTCTACTATGAGTCCTGATGATCAAATTCGGGTTGTCAGGTTTGGCAGCAAGCACCTCTCCCCAGTGAGCCCTATCGCCTGCCCTGTGTGTCCTTTAACTTCTCTGAAAGGTTTGTTTTATTTTTATTTACGGTTATGTGCACATTGTACAGGTGCCTCTGAGGCTGGAAAAGGCTATCAAAGGGTATCAGATCCCCTGAAGATGGAGTTCCGGGTGATTGTGAGCCACTGGACACGTGCTGAGAACTAAACCACATTCCCTGGCAAGAGAAGCAAAGCTGTTGTGAACCAGCCCTCCAGCCCCACCATTGTGTTTTTGTTTGTTTGAGACAGGGACTCATGCGGCCCAGGTTAGCCTTGAACTTGCTAAGAGGCCGTACATTCCAGAGCCCCCGTGCCCAGCTTGCACATTACAGGTGTGCATCATGCCTGGTTTCTACAGCGCTGCAGAAGGACTGAGGGCCTCAGGCATGACAGGTGATGCTCGAGCCACATCTTCAGGCCAAAGGAACTGTGAGGAGCCCCTTGACCCCGCCTACTGCTGTGAGCTAAGCCACGCTCAAGACTTGGAATCTGCTGCACATCCATCTTCGATTCCTGAGCCCTCAAAACACAATTAGGAGGTCCACACAGATTTGCCTTTCTTTCTTTCTTTCTTTCTTTTTTTTTTTTTTTTTT